GATGGGGTGGTTTCCCAAAGGAAGAAATTCTAGGTAAATAAGAAATGTATCCACTGCACTTGGCCTCCTTGGGATGGGACCTGTCCTCCCCTGAGTGCCACTGAGTGATCCTCATGCTGTTCTCTGGTCCCCAGGTGTCCCTGGGCTTACCTCAGCAACCGACAGCGCCGCTTCTCTATCCTTGGGGGCCCCATCCTGGGCACATCGGTGGCGAGCCACTTGGCAGAGCTGCTGCACGAGGAGCTGGTGCTGCGGTGGGAGCAGCTGCTTCTGGATGAGGCCTGCACTGGGGGTGCGCTGGCCTGGGTGCCTGGAAGGACACCCCAGTTCGGGCAGCTGGTCTACCCTGCCGGAGGCGCCCTGGACAGGCTGCGTATCCTTTCTTGCGAGACAGGAGATCCCAGCGGGCTCCCGTCTGGTGGAGGAGGTGCTCTTGGCATGGTCCAGGGAAGGGCAGGAATGTGGGGCTTGCAGTGGCCACAGCTCGTGCACTGATCCTTAGTGAGAGGCCCAGATTTTCAAGAGGTTGTTCTGAGCCCAGGTGACAGTCCCCAATTCCTTGGGAACCCTGGACGCATCCAGCTCCAGGGACCTGTCCGGCAGGTGGTGACATGCACTGTCCAGGGAGAAAGTAAGGCCCTTACACATGTTCCTCCCTCACTGGCTGACCTGCTGCCTGACCCCTGACCCCTGACCCTTTCCATCCCTCCTCAGCTCTGCTGGCCGTCCGCTCTGACTACCATTGTGCCGTGTGGAAGTTCGGTAAACAGTGGCAGCCAACCCTTCTGCAGGCAATGCAGGTGGAGAAGGGGGCCACAGGGATCAGCCTCAGGTGAGGGGGAGTCAGTCTGGTCAGTGAGGAGGGGCTGGGGGCAGGGGCGAGCAGCCTGATGTGAATGCGTTCCTGCCCTGTAGCCCTCACCTGCCCGGGGAGCTGGCCATCTGCAGCCGCTCAGGAGCCGTCTGCCTGTGGAGCCCTGAGGATGGGTATTGCCGCTTCCCATGAAACCCCCCACCCTAACACACTGAACTCTGGCCCGTCACTCCCTGTTCAGCATGTCGCGACCCTTGATTCCCTTCCACATCAGCCTGTCCCCCCTACCCATGGCTTGCCCATCTCCCCAAGGCTGCAGCAAGTCTACAAGGACCCCGAGACCCTTGTGTTCCGGGACTCCTCTTCCTGGCGTTGGGCAGACTTCACCGCCCACCCTCGGGTGCTGACTGTGGGTGACCGCACTGGAGTGAAGATGGTTGACACTCAGGTATGGAGTGGCGGCAGGAGATCTGCCCTGACTGCGGGCGCAGCCGCAGAGCAGTGAGTCCCAGGCTGGCTGCGGCCTGGGCGAGGATGGCGTCATGGGCCTGGGACTGGGGGGAGGGCTGACCCTGTGTTTCTCTTCCAGGGCCCGCCGGGCTGTGGTCTGTTGCTTTTTCGTGTGGGCGCAGAGGCTTCGTGCCAGAAAGGGGAGCGTGTCCTGCTCTCCCAGTACCTGGGGCACTCCAGCTCTGAATGCCTGCCCCCTACTCTCCATCTCGTCTGTACCCAGGTAAGTGGCACACACCGCCGCCCCGCCCCACCTCTGCTCTGTCTCAGATGGGCACTAGAGGCTGCTGCTTACCAGTGGCTCTGCTGGGCCCAGACAACCACCCAGCAAACCAGACTCAACCCTGGATGACTCTGTGGCCCCAGCACGCAGTGGATCCCACAGCCGGTGCTAACAGGCAGGTGGGGAAGCTCTCCCAGGGCCTCCCCTTAGTAAGGGCTTCAAGGTACAGCCAGGGGTGGAACGGTGGGGGAGGAGGAGCCTCGGGGTGGGGCTTTCGTGCAGAGCTGGACAGTTTCTGCTGTGCTGGAGGCAGGGGCTCTGAGGGAGCAGGTCCGTCCTCCCCCTGCCCTCCTGGGGACGTTTGTAGGCATGCCTCCAGCATAGGCTCTGGGGTCAGGAGAGTGTGGGGGTGGCTGCGGGAAGGCCAGGCAAGTTTCTGCTGGCAAGGCTCCCCCACACCTCTTCTGAGCACACCTTTCCCACTTGTTCTGTCTGTCCACCTGGCTGTTGGTCAGAATCGGTGAAGATGCCACCCACTCGGGAAGCACTTCCTGTTCAGGGCTGGCAGGTGCGGTCTGAGAGGCACTTGGAGGCTGATGGGAGATGCTGCTGCCCCTCAGGGCTCTGTACTCACCCGGAGAGCCACATGGGGCCTGGAGGGCCGCTACCCAGCTCAGCTCCCAGGTTCGGCCACATCCCCCTTCTTTCTCGGGCCCCAGTTCTCTCTCTACCTAGTGGACGAGCGCCTCCCCCTGGTGCCGATGCTGAAGTGGAACCATGGCCTCCCCTCCCCACTCCTGCTGGCCCGACTGCTGCCTCCGCCCCGACCCGGCTGTGTGCAGCCCCTGCTCCTCGGAGGCCAGGGTGGGCAGCTGCAACTGCTGCACCTGGCTGGTGAGGGTCTAGGCCAGGGTGGGCGGCGTGTGGGAGGTGGGGCGGTCGGAGCCTGGATGGGGCCTCAGCTATCTGTCCTTCCTCAGGAGAAGTGGCGTCGGTGCCTCGCCTGGCAGGCCCCCCGCAGTCTCTTCCTTCCAGGACTGACTCCCTCCCTGCATTTCCTCTGCTGGAGCCTAAGATCCAGTGGCGGCTGCAGGAGCGCCTGAAAGCACCAACCATAGGTGTGCTGGGGCAGGGGAGTGAGCTTGGGGGGCGCAGTGGAAAATACCCCCTCTCCCCGCCAGTCCCTGGAGGTCATTGTCATTCCTGTCACCAGGTCTGGCCGCCGTCGTCCCCCCCTTGCCCTCGGCGCCCACACCAGGCCTGGTGCTCTTCCAGCTCTCGGCGGCGGGAGACGTCTTCTACCAGCAGCTCCGCCCCCAGGCGGACTCCGACCACCGCAGAGACTCCGGGCCTCGCAGCGACACCGAATCTGACTGTCGTGCCCCCACTGTTTCCTGGACCTCCCAGGACACTGCCGGCTGCAGCCAGTGGCTGAAGGCCCTGCTAAAAGTGCCCCTGGCTCCTCCTGTGTGGACAGCGCCCACCTTCACCCACCGCCAGCTGCTGGGTAGCATAGAGCGGCGGCGGGAGGAAGAGGAAGGGCAGCGGCCGGACGTGCTCCGCAAGGCCATGGCCCAAGGGCGGCTCCTGCTGCAGAGAGACCTGGGCTCCCTCCCTGCGGCAGAGCCACCCCCTGCACCCGAGTCAGGCCCAGAGGACAAGCTCAGTGAGCGCCTGGGGGAAGCCTGGGCAGGCCGAGGGGCTGCCTGGTGGGAGAGGCAGCAGGGCAGGACCTCAGGGCCCGGGAGACAGCCCAGGCGGCCCAAGCGCCGGACCCAGCTGTCCAGCACCTTTTCGCTCAGTGGCCATGTGGACCCCTCAGAGGACACCAGCCCCCCTCACAGCCCTGAGTGGCCACCTGCTGATGCTCTGCCCCAGCCCCCCATGACCCCACCCTCCCAGGAGCTGACTCCTGATGCGTGTGCCCAGGGCGTCCCCACAGAGCGGCGGCAGATGCTCCATGACTACATGGCTAAGCTGCCACCCCAAAGGGGCACCCCAGGATGTGCCGCCACACCCCCCTCCTCCCAGGCCTCCAGCGTCTGGACCACCCGCTCCCAGCAGCACACACCCATCCTCTCTGGCTCTCAGCGCCCCCGGAAGAAGCCTCGAATGGGCTTCTGAGGACACAAGGTGGCCTGCCCTCAAGCCCCAGAGAGCCCCTCGTCCTTCCTCCGGGACCAGATGTGCCTTCCACAGTTGAAACTTAAGAAGCAGAGCTCGCCGGGCGCCGTGGCTCAAGCCTGTAATCCCAGCACTTTGGGAGGCCGAGACGGGTGGATCACGAGGTCAGGAGATCAAGACCATCCTGGCTAACACGGTGAAACCCCGTCTCTACTAAAAATACAAAAAACTAGCCGGGCGAGGTGGTGGGCCCCCGTAGTCCCAGCTACTCAGGAGGCTGAGGCAGGAGAATGGCATGAACCCGGGAGGCAGAGCTTGCACTGAGCCGAGATCTGGCCACTGCACTCCAGCCTGGGCGACAGAGCAAGACTCTGTCTCAAAAGAAAAAAAGCAGAGCTCGCCACCTTCTAGAGGCCACTGTGATGATGAGCCAAGCAAGTTGGAGCCAAGTTGAAGGGATAGGGCAACAAAATATAATAGTAGTTTCTTCTGTATTTTGTATATTCGCCTGAGGATCATCCCAAAAGGCAGGTTGGAGGTGCTGGCGGGCCTGTGTTACTGGGATTCTAGTCTGTGCTGGGAGACAGGGCTCTGCTGCCCCCCAGCTGTGGGGGCCTCAGGCAGGTCTCAGTTCTCGTGCCTTCCTGTCTGGTGAAATGGGGCAGTAGTGCTGGCTCCTCCTCGTGTTTGGTGAGGGTGGAGTGAGGCCCCCACAGAGCTGCTGCTGAGGTGGGCACGGCGGCCGTCGGCAGCTGCGGTTTTGGGTTGCTTTGTCAATCTCTGCCACGGTCTGATGTTTTGTACAGGGAGATGCCTTGGATCCAGGTTCAGGGATTAAATAAACTTGTCAGCTGAAGATGAATTGGAATGGTCACATTTTTTAGGCTGGACAGCATCCCGCCACAGTAACTGTCTGACACTGAGCTCACGCACAGAGATGATGGCTGATGTTCCTTCTCCCTCGGGACGTGGGTCTGGCACCTGTGGGCTCTTGATAGCGCCCTCTGAGGAGAGGGTCATGGTCATATCACTTTGGGAGAATTCTCCGTTGTGCCTCACGGACTGCCCCCTTTCTTTCCTTCCTCTCTCCCCTTCTCATTTTGATGTCTGAAGCATTAAGTCCCTTATCCTCTGAGTTTCTCTAGCTGCAGTGGAAGATTCTGCTTTCCTGTGGGGAAAAGGCCCACTGGAGATTTTGCAGGGACCTGGGTCTGTCTGGTTTCTGATGACACAGTAAGAGAAAAGTCTTTTTTCAGGGTGGCTGGTGAAAGGAATTGCATGTGACTCACACAAATAGGAGATAGCCCAATCATACATCGACTCGCGTGCGTGTTAAAATGTTTATCATGCCTGAAGGAGACATTTATAATTAAACCATTTATGCTACATATAACTGGGGGGAACTATGATGCTTTCGGTGCTGGGAATGCAGTGAGGTCCCACGTGGGCCGAGCTGGGCTGGGCAACTCCGACACACGTCTCTGAGGATGTGGTGGTGCTCTCAGTCGGCACTGTGGAAGGAAGGGTGACCTGTGCTTTCTCCCTGTCACTGTGACTCCCAGGACAGGGGGGCAGCCTTGGGGTTCAGTCCAGGCCAAATTCAGTGTCCTTGACTGGGCGTGGTGGCTCATACCTGTAATCCCAGCACTTTGGGAGGCCGAGGCAGGCAGATCACCTGAGGTCAGGAGTTCAAGACCAGCCTGGTCAACATGGTGAAACCCCATCTCTACTAAAAATACAAAAATTAGTCAGCGTTGTGACGCTGTAATCCTAGCTACTTCAGAGGCTGAGGCAGGAGAATTGCTCGAACCTAGGAGGCAGTGGTTGCAGTGAGCCGAGAGCACATCACTACACTCCAGCCTAGGCCACAGTGCAAGACTGTCTCAAAACAAAACAAAACAAAAATTATTCCGTGTCCTCCAGGCCTGCCCCCACCCGAGGCTCCACAGGCTCCAGCTCAGACTGCACTTCTCTTTTCTGTGCTGGTTCCTAGAGTGAAAGAGAAGGCCACTCAGTGTTCCCGGGAAATGCACTCAAGCCCTCCCTGCTTCTTGCCTGCAAGTCTGGAGTCAGCCAGGCAGCTGTCTTCAGAAAAAAGCCCGGCCACCGATGCGTGTTGGGTGAGAGTAGAATGGTCCAGGCACCACACAGCCCCTGATTTGGGGGTGCACCTGAAGGCAGGTGCTGAATGAAAAAACAGCCCAGCTTGCTTGTCCTCAGCACTAACCAGCTGTTCCCCCAAACCACATCTGCCAGGCGCATGTGCCAGCCTGCAGTATGAGGGGAGGCCTCAGTACATTCAGCATGTTTTTCTGGGTCTTCTGCAGCCAGGCCTCTGGCCGCCTTCCCTGCCTGGTGCCCCTTTGCCTTCCCCACCTTGAAGGCCAGTAGGACTGGCCTGTGATTCACCCAGGCCTGGGTCACTGTGGAGCAGCCACGCCCTCTGCGGGTGTCACCTCGCTTGCCCCACACCCCAGCAGTGGTGTCGGTGGTCCCCTCCAAAAGCCTTGGTCTAGAAAGGCTGAGGCCAGGGATGGTGAAGAGGGGGTGGAAATGCAGGGTCCTTAGGCCCCCGCCCCAGGAGATCTGCATGACCACAGGTGCCTTGTGACCCTCACACACAGTCAGACTTGGCTGCCCAAGAACAGGCTGGCTCAGCAGCTTTCTGGCCCAGGCTGGCTACCAGCAAGTGGCAGCTTCAGAGCCGTGAACTCAGGAATGGGACCTTCAGAGGATCTGTGTGGTGTGTCCTAGGTGACCCCTCCAGGAACATGAAAGCTTGGGGTAAGGCTGAGTGACTGCCCTGCCCCACCCATCCCAGGCCGGGGAGCCAACACCATCTCGGCTGTGCTCTTGGCCCCATGCTCTTACCTGAAGAAGAGGCTGCAAGGAAGTCGCTGTCCCCGTCTCCACTGGAAGTGAGTGGTGCGGCGTCTCTTTGGCAGGTGGGGGACATCGGTGGCTGGCCAGAGGGGTCCTCATCGCTGAGCTCCTGGATCAGGGGTCGTGGGGACTCGGTGTCTTGTTTTGGGATTTCCAAGTCCCTCTTAGCTTCTTCTATGAAGATGCCTGTGAAGGGCGCCCGAGCCGCCTTTGAGGTGTCTTTAGAGACTGCAAATATATTTGACAGAGTGTCTGCGGGCAGGTTTTCCAGCACAGGGAGTGACGTGTAGTCCAGTTCAGGGTCACTGTCATCACTCAAGTTCGAGATGACCTCAATCTTCGGAAAGCACATGTTCTATTCACAGAAGAAAAGATGTGTTTGAAAGTTTCTGTTTTCACAACAGTCACTCTACAATGCACCACGCCAGTTCTGCGTTTTCACCCAATGTCACAAACTATTCTGTTGCCACATCCGAGAAAGGCCCAAGGGAACACAGGACTCTGAAAGTTAGGCCTAGGGGTGGGGTGGCCACTCCCTGGGCACAGCTCATGTCCATGCCCTTCTCTCCGGCCTCTGCTCCCCCAGCCACTGGCTATCCACACCCTCCTGCTACCCGAGAGGGCACACCCCTGAACCCAGCTTCCCTCAGACTCTCTAGAATTAGCTCCTTGCACAGCAGCGCCCCCACAATAACTGTGTCTGTTTTCTCTGCCACCGAGCTCGCGCACAGAGATGTTGGCTGATGCCTCCTTCTCCCTCAGGGCATGGGTCTGGCACATATGGGCTTCTGGTAATCCCAGTCATGGCCTCTGGGCAGAGGGTCATGCCACTCTGAGAGAATTCCCCACCGTGCCTCACAGACTCACCCCTTTCTTTCCTCTCTCCTGTTTTCATTTCTTTCCCTCTACGTGTAGCTATATTCAGACAGACCTTCATAGGATGGACATAGAAATACATCTTAATGACAGAAAGTGCTTTCAGGTAACTGCACCGTGCTCAGCTGTTACAAACCAGCAATAGATTCTCAAGGGGTTAATCATAAAATCTTAAAGAATTGAACAAGAACAAATGGCATTTCCTTCAGCAAGGTGAAAATATGGGGGATGTGGGCTGGGTGCGGTGGCTCACACCTATAACCCCAGCACTTTGGGAGGCTGAGGCAGGTGGATCACTTGAGGTCAGGAGTTCGAGACCAGGCTGGCCAACATGGTGAAATCCCATCTCTACTAAAACTACAAAACTTAGCTGGGCATGGTGGCACATGCCTGT